AATAATTAATTTATTAATTATATAAAATTTATATAATTTAGATTATTAATTTATTTTGTTTTATATTTATTTATATTTTATATTTATTTATATTTTATATTTATTTTATTTTATATAAATATTATTTTATTTTATATTTTTAAATTTAGACTTGAATATTATTTAAATAATAAAATTATAAGTATTATAATTAAATTATTTAATTTATATTTTATCTTATTTATAATAAATAATCTTATATATATCTCTATAATATATTATTAAATATTAGTTATATAAAATGCTAATTCAAAGTTTAAAAAACTTATTTTATTAGTATTATATATAATAATATAAATATAATAATAAATAAAAAATAATCTTTTTTTTTATAATATATAGAAAGAAGTTGATAAATAAACAAAAAAATAAATATTAATACTTATATTACTAATATCAAAGATTTAAATCTTGTACTTAAATTTAATATTTCTCAAGTAACAGTATATAATACTATTAAATAATATAAAAAAAATCAATTCTCTATATTCTGAAAAATATTTTGGTTAGTCAAAAATTCTGATTAATAATAAAAAATATATATTAAAATAAGTTATTCTAAAAAATCAGTTTTTTTTTACTTGATAAAATTATAAATAAACTAAATAATAAACTTAATACTATTTATTATATTAATATTATGTATAAATATATAGATAAAATAGAATTTGAAAGCTATATTTCAAGAAAAAAATCTTTTTCAATTTTAAATTAAGAACTTTATTAATTAAATTAGTACTAGAAGAAATATAACTAAAAAGTATAATAAAAAAATATAATCTGATCTGATGAATTTAAATTTATACTTTTTAAATCAGATAACTAAATAAGAATATAGTAAAAATCTGGTAAAACTTATTATCAAGAATATATTAAATTTACTATTAAATTTAATAGAGAATCAATAATATTTTGAATATTTTAGTTAGAATGGGATTGATCCTTTGATATTAATAAAAAAAATTATAAATTCAGATATTTATATTAATATTCTTGCTAATTATTTTGTATTTTGAACTTGTCAATATCTATATATTATATTTTAATAAGATGATATATTATATTATATCTTGATATATATGACTTAATAAATATAAATATATAATATTCAACTTTTGAATTAGATTAGTCAAAGTTCTAATCTTAATTTGATTAAATATCTGTGAAATATTTTGAATCACTAAAATTGAAAAAGAAAATTATTATCTATATTAAAACAAGAATTAATTTGCATATTATAAGAGAAATAGATAAGTATTAATTATGTAGATTAATTTTAAATTTATTTAAATATGTAAATAAAGTTATTAAAATCAATGATAAAAATATGTCATATTAATTTGTAAATTCTTAAATTTAAATTAATATAACTATATATTTATCATTTTATTTTTCTTTAATTTATTATATATTTAATAAATATAATAATTTTTTATTTAATAATAAAAAATTTAATTCATTAAATAATTAATATTAAATTTTTGATAATATATTATGAAGATATGTATTAAGTTATCATAAAGTTTATTTAACAAATTCTAAATTATATATTTATTATTATTAATAAACTGTCTGATATTTAATAAGAAGTAATAAAAAATAATAAGAGTTATAATAAAGAGTAAAAGAAAGATATAATAATAAAATTTGCAAGATAAAACTTATCAAATTGGAGATAAAGTTCTTGTATATAATATGAAATAATATATAATACATAGAGATAAATTTCACTCTCAATGAAAAGATTATCAATATTATATATATAATTATTTAATAATAAATTCTACAAATTATAAACTTAAAAAACAAGTTCTGTGAAATTAGTAAATAATCAATAACTAAAATAATTTTATAAAAGATTGATATAAATAAAATTGCACTTACTGAATAATATTCACTGTAATATGAACTTTCTAGAAAAGATTTACTACTCAAGAAAGTTGATATAAAAAGATTAAGTTGTATATCTTATGAATAATGAATAAAAAATAAAGAATATTCATCAAATTTCCTATCTGAATAACTGTCAATTATCAATTTCATATTGTTAAATTAATAGATAAACCACAATAATCACAATATAATAGAGCTATCTATGTCAAAGCACAAGGAATAGTTAGCTAACAAACGCTTAATATGTACCTGTTCTTGTAACAGTATATTCCTAGCTCAATCTTTTTATTCACAATATTCACAAAAATAACTTAAAAGAAACTTCTAAATTAAATACAATAAATTTGAAAAAGAAGTTGATAGCAACATTCCAAGCGAAACTACTGATCCTCTTGAATTGTATACTCATGTATATGTATTGGCCATCCTAAAAGCAATTGACTTTTAGTAAAGATCTTGACATTAGTATCTGGCTATAATAATTTATCTTCTCGGCGAACTTTCAAAAAGAGACTGTTGCCTATTAATACAAGAACACCCACCTAATTACAGTTTTTAATCAAGTAATAAACACTCAATTTACAGATGTAAACTAGTAATTGTAAAACGAGTCTTCCATGTCTTCATGACCAAAGAGAATATCATCACCAAGAAGGAGTACTGCTATCTTATTTCTAATCATCTATAACTCAACAAGCAATTGAATGCTAAACTCCTCTTATGTAAAGAAAAGGTAAATTTTGCTGGAGCTCAATCTTCATAAAAGAGACGAAACGTTACCTATAGCATGAAAGATTCCCTAATTGCAATCTAAACCCGTGATCCTTCTGATGTGATCTGCAGGTAATCAGTTCAAACACTCTTAACAATACAATAATAGTATTTCTTTATGTTCCAATAAAGTTATTACTTAGGATCGACCGAGTACAATAATTATTTTTTTTATTTTTATTTTGTTTTCTTTGGTTTTTTTTATTTATTTTGTTTGTTACAATAATCAAAGCACTATTTACAAATCTACACACACTTTTGTATATACTTTTGTGTACTGTTTTGTATACGCTTTGGTCCACTCTTTTGTACACTAAGTTGTATTGTGTTTTGTATGGTGTTTTTCACCATTTCGATTACTGTAAAAATAGAATAGTTCACTAGTATAGTCTGACATGTATCCAGCTAGAATGTATAAATATAGGCCTTAATCAAGACAAGTTATAATAAAAGAACAAAGTAATTAGAAGAGAATTACCTTTTTGTTACTTGTATTATTGAACTTCGAGTTTTTGTCGGAAGAAGCCGTTATTGTGTGAATTCTTTTGAGAGAATAGTCTAGTCATAAGGAGACTTTGATTCGATAATTCATCTTGTAGCTTTGAGAAATTTGCCACGTAACCCTTAAAAATAGTCTATAGTTAAAAGAATCAATTGTGATTAGTCGTGTAATCCTCTTTCCCATTACCCAAATCAACCGTTATTATCAATAAACTTACCTTTGCCGTCCTCAGTTGCTGGCACAGAAATCTTTAGCGTATCGTAAAGAAGATCAACAAACCATCGGTGTAAAATTACTAAATGATTATTCTGGCAATGATGATCGTCTTGATAATTAAATGTTGACTATTCTAAATTTAGTCGAAATCTTCCTGTTAGGTAGGAATTAAGGAATTACAGAATTTATGGTTCGGTGAAATATGCCGATCGAAAAAGGTTAAACATTTAATTAATTACTGTATTCGAAGGTCATAAATTTAGTACAACGGTTAAACAGGTCGTGTAATTATTCTGATAACGATGGCAAAAGCAGATGGTTGTGATAACTGCAATTGCTTGGTGTCAGATACTACGAGACGCAGTGATGATAAATGACTTGAGATGACCAAATAACTCGTGACTGATCACGAGCCATTTGTCATGTGTAAATCAGCAAGTGACCAAATGGTCATTTAATTTCCAAGAAAACAACGCAAAACGAATTTCTAAGGCCAGAAACACCCAAAGCCTTATAAAAAAGACAAGAGCTTGTTCAGAATGAACCTTTAGTAGTGAAGGTAAGCAGGTAGATATTTTTTACTTGTTACTCTTTTTAATTTTCACTTCACTAACTAAATAAATGAATTCTTGGGCGGAAAAACACAAAAAGAAGGTTGGTACTCAATGTAGTGTGTGATAGTAGCGGTAAGTTAGAAAATATACATAATAGTCAATTTAATTTTATTTTGCATGGATACGGGTTGCCTGAGAATCGCCGTTTGAACTTTTACCTCCGTTAAGGGATTTTGGTTTGGAACGAGAGATTTATTGGACAAGTACAAGAAGCAATACAACTATGTCCGTAAGTATACATATTTTACTTGAGCAAACAAACAAAAATATTATTTTGTCTAATTTGTTCTTATTACGATTGAAACTTAGGATGGATTAGTAATATAAGTAAGACAGCTGGAGACACTCTTTTCATCATAATTTTATATTGAAACCTCATATCTTCTGCAACTAAAAAAATTACTTTCATCCATCTTACTATCATTTACTCTGCTACCATCTATCCCGCCATCTATCTGCCTACCATCTACTCTGCTTCCATCTATCTGCCTACCATCTATCCCGCCATCTATCTGCCTACTACCTCGTCATTTGGAAATCAACAAAACATCTGACATTTGTGCTCAAAGTGAGCCCATTCCATATCTTTTCCGCATATATAGAACATTTTCTATTCGATTCTGGATGTTTACCATACACAACGTGCTCAAAGTGAGCCTGTTCCGTATTTTCTACGCCTATTAGTTGATACTACTGTTTGCCAGCCATTATCCACACATCTTGCCACGGCTATTTACCAATATCTGCATATTAATTAACTATTGATAATTATATTCTTTGGTATAGGCTAATTAATTTTATTTAATAATCAATTTTGCTAATAAAACTACTTAGATATATATTGATCTTATACTATTTATAATAACTACGAACTATCATTGATCCTACAATGCTTCTTCAAAACTTAACAAACTTCCAAGAAAAACTGGCGCTTCCAAATTATCATTAAACAAAGTAGCTAGACTCTATTTAGCAAGTGGATCATCAGCCGGATGTATAGAAAGACCAACCAATTCAAAGTATAATGGCTCTTCCTGAATTCTCTCTCCATTTGTTAAATGATTTTCATCATCCAACATGTTTATCCAATTTTGAATAATATGATCCCATTGATTAGTATTTAAAATTTCATCTGAAGAATTTGTATAAGTTTCATTTTAGTTGGGGCAAAGTGGAAGAAGTAAAAGGGATAGAAGATTTAAAAAGTATAGGTATAGAAGATATAAAAGAAGAGTTAGTTGTACTTTCATCTTCATTCTCGTTATCATCAACATTATAGATAGTAAAGTCATCAGAAATTTGCTCATCATCATTATCTGAATTATAAAATGTATAGGTATAACAATATATATGTGATAATATTGCTTTTCTGATCTTTTGATATTATCTCATTTCATTTTTCTAATATTTCACTATATAACTGAGACATTTCTAGAACTTTTTATATTAAAAAAATAAATTAACAATAGTATTATAATTTGTAATAATAAATAAATAAAACTTATTTCAAGATAATTTTGCTAATTTGAATAAAGAAAACTTATAGTAGATCAAACATGCTTAACTAATATAATATTTATATATACTTCAAAAAGATATAATACTAGATGTGATAATTCAGAAGCTTTATCTTGGACTGTTTTTCAAAAGTTAATTATATTTCTATTAAATTATTTAAATATATTCACATTAAAAGAATATATAAAAAATGAAAAGAAGTATTAGATAAAAATATATTTGTAATATTATATCTCTTCATTAAAATTTTTTTGAGATGATATTCATTAAGAATTATTACTATATCTATAAAAATCAATAAATATCTCTCTAAAATATTAATATTAATCAATAACTATAATGATCTTTGATAAATATTCATATTAATAATTAATAATTATTATTAATATAGATTAGTACAAAAAGATTTGTATCTTAGATAAATATTAATAGATTATTTTTGCAAAATAAAATTTTAATTCTGTCTTATTTATTTAAGTTATTAAATATTAGAATTTATTTAAATGTAAAAATTTTTATAATATATCTTTTATAAAAAAATTTTTACTAATAATAACTTTTTTCAAGTATTATTTCTTAAATTTTATAAAATTTGATTAAAATTAATATAAAAATTATATAGTAAATAATTTGATTACTCAACTTTGAATCTTAATATCTTTATAATCATTAATTCAATTTTTATAAAATTTAGATTATATATTTATCAAATTTCAAATAACTTACTTGTATAATTTAAAGTTCTAATATTATAAATTAATAATGATAATATATAAAATATCTTTTTTTAAAAAAATAATTTTTATTTTAGTTTTTTTTTAATAAAGTAATACTTTATTTATTATTGAATTAAAGTATAATAGAATAATTAAAATAGTATAAAAAGTTAATTTAGATTATTTTTTATTTAATATAAAAAAATTATAAAAATTAGTTAAAATTTAAATAATTTTTATTAGAAGTAATTATTAATTTTTATATTGAGATATAAATCTTTTTATATTGATCTATATATAATTTATTAATAATAAATAATATTTAACTTAAATACTTATTTTAAAATTATTTTATTATATTAATATTAGTTTAAATTATATAATCTAAATAAATATATATATACCTATATATTTAATTCTTTTTAAGACTTAAACTTCTAAAATACTTATTATTTAATAAAAATTTATTTTGATTTATATATTAATATAATAAAAAATACTTAATTAGTTTTTTTATTTTTTAATATATATATATTCTAAATAATAAAAATTATTTACTTTTATATAACTTACTTTTTAATTAATTATTGATATATTATATATTTTTCAAAATTATTATTAATTAATAAATAAAAATATTTATTTTTATTATAATCTTTTAATTATATAATATAATATATCAGAAAAATTCATATAAAAAATTCAAGATATTATTATAATGAATTAATATGTGAGTTTTTACTTGAATTCATCTTAATAATATAGGATTAGAAGAGACTAAAATAATTAAAGAATAAAGAAAGAAGATGTAACAATTTTGATTGGGTTATCTCTCTTTAGATCTCTTTTAGTTTAGATCTTCATTTTGCACTATCTGTATAACAGATTAGCTTTGTATTACAT